GCACGGCAGCTGGCAACATATCTACAATGCACACCGGTAGAGCAAGGATGGAGCTTAAATTTTCTTATTGCTTCCTCCTCACCTCTACGCTTTAGTGCTCAGCGTCTCCTTCTCATCACGCTCCGCGTAATCCATGCACGGAGCAGGGATTCCCATGTGTCCGTCCTGGATGGGAGCTGGTTGCAGGATGCTGTAAAGGAACGCTCGTCTCCACGTCCCAACAGGTATGAGAAGAACAACCATGGCAGGGCTGCAGAAAATGAGTTTGTTCAAGAAGGTGAGGTGCCAATAACAAAGAATGAACAGTGTTTTTAAAGGCAAAATGCATTTGAATGCAAATAACCCTTTTCATCCAGCAGTGCCAAGCTGGGCAAAGCACTTGGCAAACATGTAGTCATTCCTCCTGGAGGAGGAACACCCAGGTGTGCCAGGGCTGCCTTGGCTCGGGCACTGGCAATAGCTCGTGTTTGCTCCAAGCCCCTCATCCAGAGCTCACATAAGTCCCTCCTGGGACTAGATTTAATCCAGGTCAGGATTTTGGAGTCATCTTGGAGATGATCTTCAGCTCTTCTTCATTAATTCCCTCCCTCCACTGCTCCCAAGAAGGTGTAATGAAAAACTACCCAAACCTGGACCATATTGCTGCAGAAATCAAGGTGCCTGAGCTGGGTAGAGGCTCAATCCTAGCACCAGAACATGGTGAGGATGTGAAAATTAAGCCAGTAAACCAGGATTTTTTTTTGTCTAGCCTTTCCCAGCAAGCCCAAACATGCTCCTATCCACTAAATACTCACTCATATTCACCTGCTATTCTGCAGCAGGTGCAGCTCATTGCACTGCCAGCAAAACTCAACCCAAGCCAGGTGGCAGCTGGACATTCATCATTGTGTGGTTTGAGGCCTGAATGTTGGCTAAACCTTTAACTGTGGTTGTTTTCTTAGAAAGGAGCATCACCCTTTGGGTTAGATCTCTGCAAGAATCACTGTGTTGGTTCGGGTCCATCAACTGGGCTGTGCTATTTTGCGTCACTGAGGATGAATCCCCCAAAATTACCAGGAACAGAATACACATCCCGTCCTACGCAGTCACAGGTGTTATTTCAATTCCTCTCCTTCCCGTCAGAGACTCATCACTTCATTTAGACATGAAACACCCCAAAATATTTGGTTATCGAATGTCACCATCACTGGTGTCAAACTGTTACTGAAACCATCCTAAATAACAATCTCTTCCTTCTTCCTCCTCCCTTTCCTCCAGACTGCCTGGAGAAGATATTTGCACAACAAATATTTGTAATTAATGTAGCTCTTAAGCAGTAGATTGAGTATTCACTGAGTTATTCCTTAAAATGTCCTGGAATTGAGGATAACATCACACAAAGGAGTCATGCAGCTAGTCGTTATCACCACAAAAACACAGTATATACTTCAGGGTTTGAAATACGTGGAAGAGCACCAAGGAAAACCATCAACACGTGAAACCAAAGACTGAAATTCCCTTATGCTATCAGAAATGAACTGTCCCTCTCCTAGGGTTGCTCGTCACAGCCATGGTCTCATCCGGACACAGCTATGGAAGTGGAAAGGTGCCAGAGCTCCAGCACGGAAGCAAGGAGGGCTCCAGCAGTGAGAGATGCTTGGCCAGGGGATTCAGCTCAGGAGCAGGAAGCAGCTCAAGCATGAGGTTTTTCTGGAAAACTTGGTCCAGTCCTGTTCAATTTATTCATCCATGACCTGGATGAAGGCACAGATGCTCCCTCAGCAAGTTTGCTTATGATACCAAACTGGGAGGAGTAGCTGATGCACATGAGGGCTGCGCTGCCATCCAGAGGGACCTGGACAGACTGGACAACTGGGTGGTGAAAAACCTCATGGAATTCAACAAGGCCAAGTGCAAGGTCCTGCACCTGGGGAGGAATAACCCCAGACACCAGTACAGGCTGGGGACCGACCTTGTGGAGAGCAGCTCTGCGGAGAAAGACCTGGGTGTCGTGGTGGGTGACAAGGTGACCGGGAGGCAGCAGGTGCCCTCCTGACCAAGAAGGCCAATGGGATCCTGGGAGGCATCAGGAAGAGTCTCCAGGAGGTTGAGTGAGGGGATCCTGCCCCTCTGCTCAGCCCTGGTGAGGCCACATCTGGAGTATTGTGTCCAGTTCTGGGCTCCACAGTACAAGAGGGATGTGGAGCTGCTGGAGAGAGTTAAAGAGTAGCTGTTTATTCCATTAGATAATCCACCAAGCAAACTGCATGCAGCGTTTTAGAAGACAGAGTGTGTCTCAGCAATAAGAAACATGTGCCCGGAAAACATGATGGGCAGTTTTTAGGACTCGATGATCTTGAAGGTCTTTTCCAATCAGGAGGTTGTGGAGTCTCCTTCTCTGGAGATCTTCAAACCCGCTTGGACGCAGCCCTGTGCCACGTGCTCTAGGTGACCCTGCGTGTGCAGGGGGTTGGACTAGGTGACCTCTAGAGGTCCCTTCCAACCTTAAACATTCTATGATTCTATGAAAACCACAACCAAGCGGAGCTTCCCGAGCTGTGTCACAACTCACTGCAGCAGGAGAGGTGGAGCACCACCTCCTGCTGGCAACATCAAGCCAACGAACACTCAACAAGTCACGTTATCTCATTCCCATTAAGGGAAAACACATTCCCTTTGTTAATTCCTGCTTTGGAGAGATGTCTCTTCAAGACTAGTTAATTTTTGTGCACAAAATCCATGAGCAGCTACAGCCAGCAGAGCTCAGCCCAGCCATTCCCAGGGCTGCCTCCTGCTTCAATGCTCTGGTGCGAATCCGGAGCAGCTGCAGGATTTACACCAGCATCTGGGAAAGCAGAACCAGCCCAAGAAAAAGGAGGAAGAGCAGCCTTTGGTAACATCAATCTTATGTAACCTAGAAAAAAACCACATCTCCATCTAAGTGCCTTCATTCTGAGCTTGTTTTTCTAAGAAAAGGGAAAGAAGAAGGAAAAAGGGCTGGAGAATTATGTGCCAAAAAATAACCAGCCCACTGAATCTCATCTTCTGCTCAACTGTTTCACCAATTTTATCAAACCTCTTCAATAAACTGCAACCAATGGAACTGCATGGCACGGGCTCTGAGCGCCACAATGAAACCCACCTCTCAGGACAGCTTTTTAAAACAAGGTTTTAAACAAGCAAAATTTTTAAACACTAAGCATAGTAGAAAGCCTTTGCCAGAAAGGGGCCGCAAAACAGGAATACTCAAGTGTTTTGGGAGCTTTTCCAAGTCAAACCAAGCAGGACCAGAAGGTGTGACGGGTTTCGCCTGGCCACGAACACCTACATCAGAACCGGTCCCAGGACCGAAACGGATAATTTGGGGTAAAATGAATCTTTCCCCACCAACGCCAATCCTCTGCATGGGACCGAAAGGGCTCTAGGCAGTTGGCTGGAGCTGTCTGCAGCTCCAAGAGGTGCTTCAAAGTCGGGGGAGATGGATCCCACGCATGAGAGCTAAACTTCTGGAAAGGCTGGTTCCCTGGAAAGGCTCCGTATGAGCATTGCAGCAAAGCCCCTGTTCCTCCTGCCTGCTGCCCCGGAGGAAAGCCGGGAAGGGCCATCTCCATCCCTTTCCCGAGCAGCCAGGAGCACGGCCAGGCCACGAGCCGAGCGGGGATGCTCCCAAGCGGAGGTTTCTGTCGGGTCAGCACATCGGAGCCGGGCTGGCTCAGACAAGCTGGCGGTACCGCGCTCCGCTCAGCTCTGTAATTAAAAACCCCAGCGAGGGAAAGCCAGGGGAGAAGCCAACATCACTCTTGCACCTCGCAAGTTGCCAACTATCACATGTAGCAGCTCTTCTCCAGCATCCAGGGCCCAATCATGAAAGATGCTGAGTTCTCTGAAGTCCTTTCAGGCTGGCTCCAAAAAAGTGCTTAGCACATGCAACTCCCACACAGCCTTACCTTCAAATGTTGCCCAGCTAAATGAGGCAGGGCAGTTTTCAGGCTTGCATGCGAGAACTTCTCTCTGATCCTCTTCATGGAGCAGAACATGTGCTCAAACCATCGTGAATGCCAAGAAAATTGGATGAAAGCAAATGTGTTTTTAAGAGAGCGCTGAGTTTTTCAGTGTTATTCTACTGGAGGCAAAAAAATGAGAGGGTTCCCACCCATGGCTCAGAGGCCTTTCGATATGGCCAAAATTGACCTGCTTTATTTTCTAGGAAACACCTCTCTGTCTGTCTTGTGCCACTGTCATCCTGAATCTACTTCTTTTGCTGGAAAATAAAATAAGAAATAATGAAATTGCATTAACTTGGATCTGCCAGACAAATCTACTAGAAAGGAATGACCAAGGTTCTTCTTTGAACTCTACTCAACCCAGGGCACTTCAGTCTGGTGCTGCAAGCAAGAAGAATGGTGGCAGTCTCACAGGTATCAGTCACACATCCCCACAGCTAGAAATATGACAGAGGTCAAACAGAAGAAAAAAAATAAGATGAATAATATGACTTGGACTCCCAGAAGGGGCAACTCTGGATGGGACCCTGTGTTTGAAGGGCTGGGATGTTCCACACAGTTTAATTCTGATTCTTTTTTTCCCTGCTTGTAAAGCCAAGCAGCATTCCCTCCTCTCTTGCAATGCTCCTCAAACATCAAAAGATTGGTTCTGCTTCTTCTATGTTTACTATAAAAAAGGGAGGCTGGCAAATGTAGTTTTTATGGGGCCAGGGGTTCCCTCCCATTTAAATTAGAACTATAGAACTATAACTGAACACTGGGCATGCATTTAAGAGTAGCCCAAATCACTATTCAGCAAAATAGCCAAGTAGGGCTATTACCAAACACCCCAAGCTCATAAACATCTTCAAAAACGGTCATTTTGGGCTGCTTGTGCAGCCAAAGCCCATTTGCCTGGGAGATAAAAAGGTGAAAGCTCCGGTTCTCATTGCAGAGGGTTTCTCGCTGGGTCAGCTCCCGTCCTCTGCCTTCATCGAGCTTCTCCCTCTGCCTTCGTCCGCGTTCCGGCGGGTCGCAATGTCCTGCCGCTCCTACCACGTCCACTCTGGAGCCGGGGCCGTGCGAAGCTTCGGCTCTTGCTCCGCCGTGATCCCGAGGAACGGGATGAGATGCACCGTGAGCTCCGCTTCGTGCTGGGGAGGCAGCGGCGCTGGGTACCGCGGCCTGGGATACGTCACCAGCAGAAGCGTGGGCAGCAACGTCACCTACAAACCTAGGATGGCCATCGGCAGCTACCACCCGTTGCAGCTCGGCTACGGCATCCCCGGCATGGGAATGGGCTACGGAGGCGCTGGCTTTGGCTACAGAGTTGGTGCAGCCCCAGGAGCCCAGACCCCCATTGCCCAGGTCACAGTCAACGAGCATCTGCTCCAGCCGCTCAAACTGGAGGTGGACCCAAACCTCCAGTCCGTGAAGTACCAGGAAAAGGAGCAGATCAAGACCCTCAACAACAAGTTTGCGTCTTTCATTGACAAGGTGAGAGAAGTTTCATGGTTCAAGAATGGTATAAAGCAGCCTCCATGCAAATGAGCATCAAGCTTTGCTCTGTTTTTATGACCCTTAAACTCAAAACTTCAGCCGAGTTGCCTCTGATTTACCACAGTCTACTTTGGTGCTGTTTCAACAAGCCTAACCAAAAAGCAGAGCTGTTCTTCTGAACAACCTTCTCATGAAAAGTTGCTGCTCAACAGACTTTAAAAGTTCTAAATTTGCCTGGCTCAGATTTCATTTCTCATTTTGCTAGTTCTAAGACTGTAACTTCTCTCCACTATCACCAACATTGAATTCTTTACTTCTGGGTTTCAGGTCCGATTCCTGGAGCAGCAGAACAAGGTGCTGGAGACCAAATGGAGGTTCCTGCAGGATCAAAAACGTTGTAGGAGCAAGATTGAGCCCATGTTTGAAACTTATCTCAGCAACCTGAAGAACCAGCTGGATGTTCTGGGAAGTGACAAAGCCAAGCTGGAAACAGAACTGAGCAACGTGCAGGATATCTTGGAAGATTACAAGAAAAAGTAAGCATAAAAAAAGATAAAGATAAGCTTTTGGAAACGGTGGTGGAGGATTAGATCCACATTCTTGCCTAAGCTTACTAAATAGGTGTGAAATTATCTTTTCTCCTTGCAGGTATGAGGAGGAAAATCACCGGCGAATGTGTGCCGAAAATGAGTTTGTTCTGCTCAAAAAGGTACGAGCATTTCAAACTGATTCCTCCCTGCTTATAATGACAAGAGCAGTCAATATTGCTGGGAAGAGAGGCAGAGAGCGTCTTCCTCTCGCTCTCTCTCCAGAGACTCTAGAGGGACCTAAAGACCAACTTTGCAGAAGATTTTAATAAATGAGTTGTATCCCACCTTAAAGCAGTCAGTTTTAGGGGAGTTTGGTTATTTTGGCTCATTGCGTACCCCAACTGGTCAAAATCTTGTCTTCTTTTTTGTGCCCAGTGATCATCTCTTGTGCCTAAGAGGACAAGAGAGGGAAATAATTTAATAACGTGGCAAAATTAGGTCTTTGAAACAGCAGCCCTGAGAGTTGGCAATCCCACTGCATGCTGCTGTTAAGCAGAAGGCTCTTTTATTTCATAAACCCTTCTCTGACCTGCTGCAGGATGCGGACGGTGCCTATATGATCCAAGCTGACCTGCAAGCCAAGGTGGAGTCCCTCATTGCAGAGATCAGCTTCCTGAGGAGCCTGTATGAGATGGTAACAGCTTTTCCTTTCCCTTTACTCCAGGCCTCTTTCAGGGATCCATGGAGTTAGACTCCCATGGCTCAACACTTACCTCCATGGAGATTTTTACTGTTTCTTCCCTCTGTGTACATTGGTTAAGCTACGGATTTCAAACGAGTTACTCCTTCATGGACACAATCCTAAGGATTCTGCTTCAATTTGGGTAGTAAAAGAAGACTCCAGAAATCCTTTTTGGGGGTTTCTGCAGTGAGGGTGAGGTGGCAACACCCAGAGAACACATTTTCTTGTCTCCAAACAGTGCAAATGAGCAGGGAAAGCACTGGTGGACCAGGCTAACCAGTTTGATGCCTCTCCTAGGAAATGGCTCAGCTGCAAGGATCCATCCCGGACACCTCTGTTATTGTGCAAATGGACAACAGCCGAGGCTTAAACATGGATGACATCATCGCTGATGTCAGAGCTCAGTATGAGGACATTGCCAAGAGAAGCCGGGCTGATGCAGAGTCCTGGTACTACAGCAAGGTGAGTCACGATGAGCACTTAGAAAGACACTTTCTACTTCATGTACCATTTTTGTGAAGCACCTGTTGCTTCGGATTTCTGCATTTGGGTTGAAAAGTCTGTTTCTTACCTACTTGTTGTGCTCTCCCAATGTATGATACATCATAACGTCCTGCACACAGAGCAGCTCCGGTCTAAGTGAGTCATCCCTTTCCCTCTAGTGCCATAGATTTGTGTCAAAGCTCAAGATCCAGGATTGAGGACCCAGCTTCTGACTCATCTCCTTGCCCTGATTATTTATTTTCTTTGCATTTTCTCTCTCCTCAGTATGAGGAACTGAGAGAAACCGCTGGCAAACATGACGACAGCTTGCACAACACAAAGAATGAAATTATGGAATTGAATCGGATGATTCAGAGACTGAATGGAGAACTTGAAAGCACCAAAGCCCAGGTGAGGATGACTCAGGGACAACAAGGTATCATTTCCAGTTCTCAGGCTATAGACTCCAAAACCCCTCTATTATAGCAAAGGAACAACAGACAGTTTTGAGGAAAAACACGTCAGCTGCTCAACTCTCTGGTAGTATAGAACATGGACAGAGATAAACAGGTTAGCACAACCAATAACTCCTACCTCTTTACTACCATCAGAAGCACATACACCAAAGCTAAGCAGAAACGTCCTTAGGTTAGTGGTTTAGATATAGAGTCCAAACAAAGTGGGATGGTCCAACGTAGCAGATGGGTGAACCATGAAGAGGCAGGTTGAGCAGCCCTGAACTATTCAAAGCACACACAAATAAGCGGCGATAACGAGTCTCTCCTACCTCCAGAGATGCAAACTGGAAGGAGCCATTGCTGAGGTGGAGGAGCAAGGGGAAGTGGCCATCAAGGATGCAAAGTGCAAACTCTCCGAGCTGGAGGCCGCTCTGCAGAAGGCGAAGCAGGACATGGCCTGTCAGCTCCGCGAGTACCAGGAGCTCATGAACGTCAAGCTGGCCCTGGACATCGAGATCGCGACCTACAGGAAGCTGCTGGAGGGAGAGGAGAGCAGGTGAGAGCTCACACAATCCTGAAAAATGCTTGCCAGGATTTGCAATGCATTTGCCACCACCACCACCCCCTTCACAGGCTGCCTGGTAACCCGGCACCTCCTTTTGGCACTGAGAACTGGTGTCCTAGGAGGTGGCACCAAAACCCTTCAAAGGGGCATCCTGGCTAACTGAGGGGATGGAGCGGAGGCCTCTGCCTAGGACTCACACTTGCACTCGTGGAACCAAAGTGAAACCTTTTCCCTGCTCTGGTACCACGCTGGCCTCGGGAAAACGTCCTCACAGGCATGAGCAGAGATTGCAGCAGGTCCAAACCCCTCCCTGGCCCGGCCAGCATCTCTCTGCATCCCAAGAGCACCCAACTGTATCCAGTTACAGGGACACAGAGCAAACAGGGACTTGGGGTCTTACCTTCATTTTCCCCCTCTCCTTAGGTCATATGTAGACGGCGGCTGCCCGGTGAATATTGGTAAGTACTAAACACATCCTTATTTTTCACAATCCTGAGGGATTTTGTCCTGCAGGATGGAAAAGCTGAGCTGAAACGCTTCCTTTGCAGCCGTGCGCCGCTCTACGGGAGGAATCGCCGCCGATGTGGATGCAGGTGCTGCTGGTAGCTACTCCTGCAGCAGCAGGACCCTGTTGAGAAGCGGAGCTCTGGGAGCTGGAGGAGGCATCTGCAGCAAAGGCAGCATCCCCGGCTCCGGAGATCCCTGCGCTCCCTGTGCCCCCGCGGGAGGATACAGCAATAGCTCCAGCATCAAATTCTCATCCACTACAACCTCCTACAGGGCAAAATATTAAACACAAGGGTTGAAAGGAGGATCCTCGCTTCACCAGCTGAAAACAGCAGCAGAAAACGCTGCTGTTTTCCCAATGCCATCTGCATTGCTTATTGCTTGCAAAGTTACTGTTACGAGATCTGCTCTTCCCATTTCCTTGTGCCGTAGGTTAGAGCCTGCTGTCAGGCTGATCCCTCTAACTGGTCCCAGGGACCACGAAATCCTCTGTCAGCATCTTCAAGGGAGCCAGATCCACCCTTGAGCACGAGACCAGCTCCAAGTGCTTTTTTAGTCCTCCAAGGCATAGCACATTGCAGCACTAGCATTAAGTACGTTACTCTGTTTGACATCGGGGAACCAAAAGAGGAGAAAGTGATAGATTTCTAATGGAAAGTGATATATTTCTAATGCCTCTGTGTATTTTTGCCAGCGATGCTTGTCAATGGTTTTTATCCTCGTGTTAGTCTCACATCTCCAATAAACCAGCAGAACAACTCACTTACCTCTATGTGAAGCCTTCAGCTGGGGAGAAGGATTCATTCTTGTTCAGGATCCCAGGAGCTGCCGGTGCTTAGAGGGGTTTAAAGCAGGCACGTGCCAAATCCTCCATCCTGGCAAAACCCTCCCAGCACTTTCTTCCTCAACCAGGGCAAAATAACACACCCACAGACACATCTACTCTCCCCATGCAACGAGAAGGGCTATGAGCCTTTTCCCCAGAGCTCAAGATGACCCATGGGTCTCTTCTTCCTCCCACCTGCGCACGAGCTGGAGGACTCATTTCACCTGGGGCTGGGGGTTTGCAACACCCTTGGCTGCTGGCAAGGGAAAGGAAGGGGCCCATGATAGGTTAGATGCAAAAAAAATGCAGAAATCATCCATTAACAACAGGGGATTTTTTTTAATTTCTTTTTTTTTGCCCAGGACACAAAAGGCACGAGCTGGGGGGCTCTGCTGGCCAAACCAGGTGCCCTCCCTCGCTGCAACAAAAGCCACATGCAGGCTCAGTAGATATGGGAGTGATTGGGTCCATGCAGCACCTGCTGCAAACCTGGCAGCCTCATAACCATCCTCAACACAGAGGAAAGGGCTTCTCTTGACGACCACAAAGTCTCCAGGTGGCCTTTGCCCCTGTGACTCCAGCAAGGGCTCACGCCAGGTCTGCCCCGTGGCTCCTCTTGCTGCACAAGCCCTTCACACACCCCAGGCTCTCTCAAAAAGCAGCAAGACGGAGCTGTTAATGTAGAATGGCCCAGATCTCCTTCTGGATTTGGGCAGATGCAGATGGACAGAAGTAGATGGGTGTCTGCTTGACTGTCTTGCTCCTCTCTGGTCAGAAGAGGGAGAGGGTGGCCCAGAGAGGACCTGGGATCAGCCCTGAGCAGGGGCCACCTTCAGTGCTTGAATGAACTGGCCCTGGGAGGACAAAGACAAGGACTCGGTGCAAACCAGGGAGAATTCACCCAGAAGGTGAAAGACTCAATGAAGCAAAGCCCATAGCTCCTAAACCCTGCTCTGGGGCTCTGCCCATGCTCCAGGAGGAAGATGACAACAGCTCATGGTGATCCAAGCTCCTGAGCATCCCAGGACACAGAGCAGCACAAACAAGGACCCCATCTGGGATCAAAGAAGGATGCAACAGAGAATCTTTATTATTATGACAAAACTCTCAGACCAAAAGGCGGAAAACTTCAACCAGAGATACGATGCTGGGAGAGGGCTGAGTTGCAACACAGCAATTCTGTGCAGCTTCAAGTCATTTATTTCATATTTCTTTCCTCCTACTGCAGTAATAAACTACTGCCCTGGCACGTGGAAGCTGAAGAAATATTTTGGCAGGAACAAGTAGTTATTGCAATGATGCATCAACAAAACATGCTTTTTCCTAGCTGTAGCAGAGACAAATATCACTAGTTATGCTTTGAAATACAGAGTGGTAAACAGAGATGTCCAAGAAGGGGGTATGTTATCTCTCAGTTTACTGCATTATTTATAATTTTAAGCAAATTTATATCCCTTAAACTTTAGGCTTCTTTTGGCGGGGAAGGAATAACTGGGAGAACTTGTTAATGAGTTACATTGTTATAAAGAGCCTGAAAGTAAAACTGTTTGCATTGTCTTCTGAGTGAAGCTAATTTCTTACTGAAGAGACTTCTTGGATTCCAATTCTGGGCCAATTTCCAAACAAGACAAGGAAAAAAAATCCAAAACAGTTTCACTGCTTTCTTCCTGGTGTATTTTAAGAAAACAAATCCAGACTGAAAGTCATAACAAAGGCTGGCATTTTCCAAGGACCCCAAGGGTATAAGGTATTCCAAACCATATTCAGAGGAAGATAATCTTCTGGTCTCTTTTGCAAAACCACAGCAGAAATGCATAAAAGCTTGCCATTCAAATGACTGCTTTGCCCTTCAAAGAGTGAAATTCAGCTCTGAGCAGGGGGTACCAAGCACACAAGTAACATATAAGCATTATCCCACCTGCTTCACTGGGGAAATTTCACCCTCCAGGCTTGAACCCGCTCTTGGTGGAATGATTTCCACCAAGGTCAACAGTGCAGGATCAAGCCTCGAGCATGATGCAGCAGGGCCAGGTCCTCTGGTATGTCTTATTCCAATTCATTCACCACTGCAGAAATTTTGCAGCCAATTTATTCTACAAAAGGCACCACAACTTTTCTTTCTATGGTTTCCCTCCCCCCCATGTATTTGGGTACCGATGATGGTTTCCAAGTTTATTTCCTGATGCTTCTCCTGGTGGACGAGGTTGTGGTCACGGTGTACGTGGAGCCACCTCCAGAGGAGAAGCCGAGGGCTCCGCTGCCCATTCCAGCTCCCAGGCTAAGGCTTCCTCCCCGCAATCCGCTGGAGTAGCCACCTCCGCCGCTGGAGCTGACCAGAGCTAGAAGACCACACAAAGAAGCAAACCAAGCATGAGCCCCAGGGAACTTCCAAGCACGGCACCCTCACAAAAAAAAAAAAGGCCCTTCTGAAATTGCAGGAGTCAGATGAAAACTCTCCACAAGCTCCTGCAAAATCCAGGCCCCCTCCACTCATCACAGTCCGGGTCCCTGGGTTTATCTCTGTGCTAAGTTAGGTTTCTTTCTGGGAGGAAAGAAACCAAAGGATCATCCTGCCCCTCCAAGTTAAATTTCATACCGAAAATGTAGGGCTGGAGTCTGCCATAGAGTCAGACCATCAAGGTCTGACCCAGGGCCTCTCGTGTAGGAGAGGGGTTAACTCTGCAGAAACCGAGGGCACCGCAAGGCACTATTGTAAATTATTAAAAGAAAAAAGTCAACTCACAGATGTTGACGTTGCCAACTCCATCACCAGCCAACCTGTTGGAGAAGAAAAACACAAAGGCAAAAAAAGGGAAGAGCACAGGTTAGACTGTATTACTCAGTGTTCCCTTAGGGCCTCGCTTCTGAGGATGAGCACAAGGGAGGTAAATTATTATTATTGCTGCTGCTGTAAATAATTCAGACAAGATAAGTGTGCCATCCAGTGCTTTGTTCTGGCCCTACATTTACAAGCTCTGTTATCACCTCAGGGGAAGAAGGGGGGATTATAGAGCAACAACAGCTCTGTCCTAACTCCAAGGGGATCTATCTGATCCATTTGGAAGTTGCCTGTCACAGGAGCAAAGGTTTGCTGGAGAAGAGCTCCTTTGGTTTTTGCTTGAGCATTTTCAAAAGTACCCAGTTTTCCCCAGAACCTTCCAGTTTGGCTCTTGTACTAAAAAAAATTTCCAAGGCCGAAAAAAATCAGTTTAAAATGCAAGATTTTGTCTTCTGCATTCTCTTCAAAAATAGGAATTGGGCCCTTGCAGCGTTCCCAGGATGCAAAGAAGGGGAAATTCAGTGGTGGGCTGCCTTGCTCCCCTTGGCACATAAAACCCGCAGGCTGCACCCACCTGCTCTCCTCTCCCTCCAGCAGCTTCCTGTAGGTCGCGATCTCGATGTCCAGGGCCAGCTTGACGTTCATGAGCTCCTGGTACTCGCGGAGCTGCCGGGCCATGTCCTCCTTCGCCTTCCGCAGAGCGGCCTCCAGCTCCTCCAGCTTCGCCCTGGCGTCCTTGACGGCCATCTCGCCGCGCTCCTCAGCTTCGGCAATGGCATTTTCCAGCTTGGTACGCTGTGGAACAGAGCAGGAGATGTCAGTGGGAATCCTGTCCCTGCAGTGGAGGTTTCTCCTGCCTAGAGGCTTCCAGCATCTAGGGAAC